CCCCCCCCCCCCCGGAGGGGCCCAAAACAAGTTTTGGGGGATAGGTCTCGGAAACATTTGTTTTGTTCGCCCTTGTGGCCATCCGTAGCTTCCTCAGGAACTTCAAAAACTGCTCACCGCATTAAGTCATTGCCAATAATCGAAGAGAGGATTCCAGAACAGGACACGCCTATTATCAACCGGCTGTGCGCTGGTGCAGGGCGGAAGAGGGGCAAAGGAAGGGTGCCACGCACAGGCTGGGCGCATTGGTCTCATTGCCGAACAACGTAGTCCAGCTGCCGAACTACAACAAACGTCCAGAATAACCTTACTACTGCTGTAGGTAAATCGATTAAGGCGCTGCTATCCTCTCGATCCCGTTGACTGTCACTCTATTCGCCACTTAGTCTATCCTCGAAGGCCGAACTCCGTCTTGCATTGTCATTGAGAAGGGATTCCCTCCTCCGCTCAGATTTACCTCCACCTAATGCTTTAGATATTTTTCTGGTATAATTCAAATGAAACCGTCAACACAGGCTTGTTGTTGTTGGAGCGACCGGACGGGGCGCGGGCGCCGTGCATCTCATCATTGTTCGTGATATCGGCATGCACCTAACAAAACGTTATTGATGTTTCAGACTTGATATTCGGTGTGGTGGGTGGTTGCCCGGTGGTCGTGCATCTCAACCATCTTGGGGATGGTCGCGATCGGGACGTGGGGGATGTTGGCGCTGGCCACCCCGGGGCACTCCGCCTGCATCTGCTGCCACGCCTCTGAGAGGTCATCGTACCTCTGGCTGCCGTGGTTGTTGGCGAGCGCCTCAGGGTCCTGAGCAGCGGAACGAACAAACTAAGGACGGCGCGTAGACAACCACACGGTATCAGTCAAACGTCGGGTTTCGAATCTTTCGATCTTGGTTAACGACTACGCGCGGTGGTATGCAGTCCGACTTGAAGCGAAAGCGAGACAAGGAAGAACAACGAAAGTGTTCGCTGCATCTATTCACAGTAACACTGACGTACGTACATCGTCTTGCAGCCCAAGGACATTTCTTGAGTTTGTGGGGAAGGATTCACAAATCAGTATAAAGTCAAACATGCGCACGTACACAGGTGCATCCGTCCATCCCCCACCTGTACGAAGCAGACGAAGACGGCGTTGTGGCCGGAGCGCAAGACGGACATAGTGGTCGAGAAGCACACTGCCACTGGCACGAAGACAAACACCAAGACCACGAACATGATGAGGCCGTCCCAGCTGCCGGAGAACTGCACGCCCGTCAACATCACCAGACTCGAGCACGCCACGACCAGGTAGGTAGACATCAGGCCCATGGTGAGCAGGAACAGCCCGACAGCGACAATGTCGTCGTTGGCGATCATTGTTATCCCGCGCCTCTGGAACAGCTCGTGCACTCGTCGAAGGGCTGCTTGCAAAGGAGAGAGTCGGGACGGACGGACGGAGGCTCAGTAACCGTTCAGATAGTGCACAGCTGTTACTGAATGCCAGTCATCACGCACACCCTGCTATCTCATAGCTGGTTGTATGGGGAAGAGGCGCAGGCCAGTCGGGTGAAGCGCGGATTTACAGCTCATGAGCCACCCTTCGCGCGGCAATGATGAGACCTTTAGCAACCGAAATCGAACCATTACACAGACCAGTTAGCGAATATGACTGGGTCTGATTTCGCTGAAGGTCTCAGCCTGTTCGGCAAAGATGAACGGGTGCCGCGTTGGCTCCCCGCATCGTGCAGTGCTCCGTCTGCAAACGAAAGCCGACTATTATATCTACCGCCACCAGGGGGCTGGGAGAGGCTGGCATGACATGTAAGAAACATGCCTTGTAATCCAAGTGGTATGTGCTCCACGTGGGACGACACTCCGAACCAGGAATGTGAGCCGGGTCACGCCCATGGGCAGCCCATGGGCAGCCTTGAAGTGCCTTTGGGTAGCCCATCGGAACCGCTGCCCATGGGCTGATATGCAAAACTCCCAGTCGTGCGGGAGATTGGATGCGCCCCCGCACCTTCCGAAAAGTCCAACCCGTAGATGCCGATGAAGCAGATAGCGTAGGTGGAAGCGTAGCCGACGGCCTACCGAAACCTGCGGAGGAAAAACCTGAGGCAGAGAGCGTGGGAGACCGGGCGTAGGGGGAACATGGCCACCCTTATCACGGCCACAATCGCAGCAGCCTTGCACAAGGACCTGGAGCGAACGTGCGATAGAAAATTCTGTAAGAGGTTAGGGCGGTCCGGCCTCACGCAAGGCGGTGCACTTGACACGAACGGGAAGGGTAGCCCTGGAATGAATGGATGGGTGGCGTTTGAAGCCTCTGCAGCAAGTGGAAATGCCTCTTTTCAGCGACAAACTGTCCAGTCGAGGCAAAGGACCGTGAGGGAGAAAATTCAACAAGCCGGCCGCCGGTAGTACGCCCGACCGAACGTGCTTACTATCTCCGAGCAAGGGCGAAAGCCTCACAATAGGCTCAGCGATCAGCTATGAAGCTACGCCACGTTACAGCCGCAAGCAATCTGTCCTAGTCCGCGGTACCCTCGACCGCGGTTTGATCGGTGATGATATTTCCAATCCCAGAGGTAGGAACCGAGTTCGGAATGCGCCTCAGATTCTTCTTTGCGGAAGGACAAGATGTAAGTGACCGTGTGCACGCCGCTTTCCTGGGCCTAGTCATGGGCCATCGTGAAGTTGTTTCAGTCCTCAGGGGGGGTCATTTGAAGCCATTTCAAGCCGACGTGTTTCGGATGGTATACACTGCAAGAAAGTGTTCCTCACTTCACGGAATCGCGGTTCGAAACAAACCACGGCCCGTGAAATGAGCTGCTGTGGTAACGGGAGTAATACCGTTCCATGAGAGAGGCGCGCCGATGTCGTTTCATTCTACAGCCGACCAGTGACCAGCGGACCATAACGCACGCGGACGTAGCATACCAAGGCATCCGTTTGGCCATGCTCATTGTCGGGTGCACCACAGTCTGGTTGATTGCTGCACACCATGGTACGCTGTACTGTCTGGGCGAACACCGCTAGCACGACCGTTCGCACGGCAGTCGACCTCAATCGGTGGTCCCGTAGCCAACCTGAATCGGCGGTCCAGCACAGCACGCTGGCCAGTTTCATCGTGTTGGCGCAGACCAAATTGGTGAGTTTGGAGCGATAGAGTACTCAGAAGCATGGTGAGCACCGCGGATAAGAGCAGACCCTGGAATTGTTTGGCTGGCACAACGTGTTTCAGTCTTACAGATGTATCTGTCTCTTCCAGCGGTGGTCTTGATTGATTGGGAGTTTGACTGGCACAAAGTGTTTCCGTCTTACAGCAGTGTCTGTCTCTCATTCTTTCCCCAACTCAAACCAAAAACACCCGGGGGGTATCCAAACAACCCCCCCACCCCCAACCACCACACACCGCCAGTTTTTTTTTCATAAATGAAATTTGCCGAAAAAATATCGTGAAATCCCGAAAAACATATAAAAAGTCGCCGGCCGGGGAAGGGCTTGTCACAGCTGTTAGTTGTCCTCCAACTTCGAAACAACCCCATTGTCGTAGTTTTGCACGCAGCACGCGGTCCTATGACGCGAACGTCCGAAGTGCCAGGCAATAGACCAATCGGACGTCTTGATGACGTTGACGCCGTGAGCACGTTTCATCTTGACTGTCGCCTCTCTTGTCAACGTTTAGCAGTCAGTGTCGGTGATCGGACTTATTGTCACGCACGAAACTCGAGAACGCAGCAGGTTCTCCTGGCACGAAATTGCTGCGATCTCGATGAATTTGTGTCATGAAGTTGGCTACCGGCCATCAGAGTGCAAGACTGTTCGGGAAGAGAGATAAACACGCACGCCTGCATGATGATTGTGTGTTAACCTACTTAGCCTGCCAACAAGAGGTTCGGAGCACATCTCTGCCGCCTTTCAACGCGGAGATTTCCGCCGAAGTTCGCACGCACACCACAAGTTGATGATTGATGACACTCTTATGTATGTACTCGCGTGGAGGTCATTTGAGTTTCTATAGTCAGATCCCTCCGAGATCCTGCCTGGTCACCATATCATCCTACGAAGGAACTTACGAAGGAATTTTTTGAACAGTTCGCCCCAACCGAACTGCACACAATGCCCAACGATTGTCCCAGGCGCTGGTCGATTGTATTATTGGCAGTCCTGTCACCACCACGCACACCGGGTGCAATGACTCCCCCTTGATATACAGCAGCCCTCATTCATTCGCAACCTTCACCCCTGCATCACGACGCGCACCGCACATGCAGCATTGGGAGGCTGCCTGCTCCTCCTACAGGTTCGCCTGCATGGATGCCGCTGTTCGCCCTGCCCCAGTCGCTGCCTCTCATCGCAGAGGAGGAAGAGGAATTCGCGACTGAGGAGGACGAGGTTGGGGAGGGCGCGTCGAACCAAGGTGGAGGGAGGGCGGAGAGAGAACCTGTGGATGGAGGACCAGGTTTCAACCTTGGCACGACGGCAGCCCCAGGGCCCGCGGGGCCGCCCGCGCGCGCAGCGCCGGCGGCACCGCCG